CATTTCATGTTCAGTTCATGAAGAGTATAGTAATAGCATATTATTGCATACATATATACACGCATCCTCATTTTATTGCCCCAATCTAATTATCTACCAATATCATCTTTACCACCAAACAAAAAAAAAAAAAACAAATACACATAAATCGAATCAATTTGGGGTTCAATTAGTTACTTGGACAATTTTACAACCGCCCCGGTTGATATTCCCACCGCAGTCTGTGAGATGTAATAAGGGGGCGAAGATTCAGCATTGTAAAAAGCTTTGACACGCTCTTCCAATTAGCGCCACATCACAGGAAGCAGTGTGCGGATTATACCAGTTTTGTGGTAGATCTACCGCATTTTTTGCTAAATTGCATTTCTAGCACATCTGCCACCGTAAGCTTAAAATCCACCACATTTTTTGCTAAATTGCATTTCTAGCACATTTACCACCGTAAGCTTAAAATCCACCACATTTTACAATTTTTCAAATTTTTCAATTTAGATGATTTCACTTACAGTGCCTCAAACATTTTTTGAAATTTTGTTCGCCTGCGGAATAGTACTGACACAAGCAGAAACCTAGATCGGCATCTATTTGTTTGGGTTTCTATTGTTACTCGTTGACAATCGGCATTTTCATTCATGATAAACGACATTTTGTCTGGTAAAAATATGGATTTTCAGCATTTAGCGCAAAATTTTTATATCAAAATTCGTCCGAGTACATACATATACATATATGTGTGTATACCTCCACAGTGTTTTGGAATCTACCACAATCTTTAATTCTTATCTACCACTAAAATAAAAATGTAGAGTCCGTACACTGGCTGGAAGCAAAGCGCCGCCCTGAGCACTCGTGAGGGCATAATTAACAAGGTAAACACGTGTTTGTTCTGCTTTACACACACCCACAGGTATGGACCGGCGATACGTACTCAAATACAGACGGATTCTGCGATATTGCGATTTTAAAAATTTTTAATTTTAATTTTTGCTGAAAGGCAAACAATATTGGATGAGGAGTTGGAATGGCAATAACGAAAGGAAAGATGAATTAAAAATAGACATGCATACGTACTACTTACATTGTATGTATGTATTTACAAATATGTATACATATATGAATACTTGGACATCCTCTCCTAGATTTTCCTAAAAGGATCTTTAATGAAAAGTCATAAAAGAAGTCCATACATATTTTCTCAGAGCAATATCAACTTTTCAGTATCTAAAATTTTTAATGTAAAATTGAATACTCCCTAGAAGTGTTACGTTCATAATATTCTGAAAAATAGAGACATCTCAAAATATTCGTACAGAAATCATTATTTCCCTCCACAAATTTTTACAGAGTTTTCTAAGTCTAAAGTGAAAATAAATTTGGTTCATGCGTTGTATGGAAGAAAATGCGCACACCCTCGACAAAAAAAAATTCTTAAAAATCAACGGTAGTTTTTAGAGACTTGAAACTTGCACTTTATCATACCAAAATCGAATAGGCTACAAAACTGCATACATACTCAAAATCTTGATAAGAAATCTAATTTTAATAATCGAAATTTTGCTGATTTTTTTTTAGTTTAATTAATTTTTGTGAACTTGGTGCAAGCTTTGAAATTCTTATATTTGCGATTTTTGATACAGATCGACCCATATTTTAAATGAAAATTATTAACAATAAATAAATAAACATAAGTTACCAGCAGCATCATTTTGAATTTTACTGCTGTTATTTTACTCGCAACTGTACATCCATACACATGTATTGCATGCACAGCCATAGTATGAATTCACGTAGATACATTAAATAAGAGTAAACCACTGTTGTTAAGCGGTATGTTGAAATGCGTTTTTATGCTCTGTAAAAATCCCCAAGTACTCTCCGTAGGCTCATAAGCCTTTAGAAACAATTCCGCATTCTGTAAAAGCCATATGCACATTTCCATATACGCATAGGTACGCTTTTCAACTTAAAAATGCAATATGCAAAAATTGGTAATTGAGTGCGTGTTGCCAACCATCATATGTCAACTTCATCACTGAACATCCAGCCAGCCAACATCATATTTTTAATATTCTGTTTTCCATTTAAGTCTTTCGTGTTCTGATTATTCGCATTTTAATTAAAAGATTGTCAACCAACGTCGTCAGCAGCTGCAACAGACGGCGCAACAAAAAAGCAGCAGCAGCACGAAAAACAGCAGAAACCGGCTACGAAAAAAGTGGTACGTTCGTTCCTTGATGCGCTTTTGAATGCGAACCTGGATAGCAGCAACCAGCTGACCAACAAGGAAATGTTCGAGGAGCTCTCCGCGTTCCTATTCACAGTGCGTATGAGTTGCATTTTGCGCATGGAATTGCGGGGGGCGGCACGATAATTAATAAGATAAAGGCAGTTAAAAATAAATAAATTGTTGGTTGCATTTCCACAGTTTATTGAGTAAAGCTGGAAAATCCGAGTAATTTTATGCTTACAAGGAACTGAGCGTTTGTTGTGGAACCCAGAAAATAAGGTTTATTAGGTAAATAAATTATTTATTGCTTGAAATGTTAAAAATCTAAAATTGACCATTATTCACACGAAAAATCTTCAACTGTTCGCTTGACATTTTCTTGGGGAAAAATTGCTTTAAATTCATTATAAAACTAAATTTTCATTTTTGGGCAAATTTTTATGCACACGATTTTCTCTGGTTAATTGCAATAACTACTCAAGTGTAATTTTCTTTGAAGATTAATATAAATTTTCTATACATAACAAGCCATCCAACTCCTGATATAAAATTTTCGCTTTATTTCATTTTTAAGAGGAGCACAATTGCACAACATCGACGCTATCTTCTACACTCTATTTACACTAGGGTGGTACGAAAATTCATGTCGAATTTGTATGCCGAAAAAATATTTTTAGAAAATAAAAAATATTTACGTAGAAATGTTATAGAACTCCTAGAAATCAATATGATTCTCTGTAGGAGATTACCTAAAATAATATCTACCTAATTTTTTATTAAAAAATTTTTTATAGTTACTATAATTTATAGGTCCGCCAAAAACGGAAAATATATTTTTTTTAATATAGAAAAATCCTAGGGGCTGAGAGCATTAAAATTCCGACTTTAATATTTTTTTTTGGACCACCCTAATGTACACCCTCTCTCACCATCCAGCCATTCAAGAAAAGATGTAAGCCCAGCAGCGGCGTATTTTCGTAACGAACTCAGCCGTGCAGTTGGCGAATGTTTCCAACATTCCATGTGCACATTTGGAGCAGATGCGCTACTTGGAATACGTAATACGCAGGACACTGCGTCTGTATCCTTCTGTGCCGTTAATCGCACGCACCAATCGCAAAACAATCGATATGAGTAAGTTGAAAGCAATCAAATTGCTTTTTTTTCCTGCTCCTCCTTCTGCTGCAGTCAAGTGTTTTCATCGGTTTTATGCAATCATATTTTCATTTCATTGTACTCTTCGTTTTGAAAGATGGTACCAACATTGCTAAACGCACAACCGTTATGTGCCTAATAGCCATGAAATACAATGAAGAAGTACTTTGATGAATCGACCGTTTTTCGCCCTGAACATTGGACGAATATAATTAAATGGAGAAGAGTCGGTGGGACTGGAAGCATTGAAAAGTCTACCGTTTAGCGCGGTATCAAGGAGGCGAATCAATGAGTTATTACGTGGGCGCGTTTTTGACGAAGAAGCAGAAGAGAATAGCTTAAGCACAGAGGATATTATTCATTTTGAATATTAATGAAAGTTTGCAGATGAATCGTTCGTGCATCCTGTCGTTTGAGATAGATAATAAGGCTGTTGTTATCATCTCCCCTCAAGCTTAATGTTGGTTTAATACCAGCACTGAGATCGGACTAACACATTGTCGAATCTTCACTGATGGCTAAAAAACTGACTCTGGGTCAGGCTCTGGCGTCTTCATCGAGGTTAATGGGGAACAGCTTCACTTTTCTCTTGGGGATGCGCTTCAGTCTCTCAGGCTGAGGTATTTGCAATCCTCAAGGCCATGAACTACATGATGGAAAATAGGTGGAGGAGAAGCAGTTTTTGTGTCTGCAGTGACAGCCAAGCTGTATTTAAGGCATTGACCAGCCCTCTAACTACTTCCAAACTAGTTCGGCAGTGCAAGTCTCGACCAAATTAGGTTGGCAAACATAATGGGCTTGTTTTACTCTCGGTGCCAGGTCACTAGGGAGTACCTGGTAATGAGACATCTGACCGTTTGGCCAAGGCTGGCTCAGGCCAGGTACTCCTCGGTCCTTCGGCCATCGAGGTCATCAGCAGAAACGGACTGAATACTTCGCTCAGCAATGACTGGGAGGTATCGAGGGGCTGCAGCTGGGCAAAACTCATTCGAATTCAATCTCAGACGGTCTATCTAGTTTTTTGCTCGCACTGAGCAGACGGGACTGCAAGAATTAGGTATCGAGACATTTAGTCGCGATGTGTTCAGAGACGAACACCAGAGCTCTTTGACACCCAACAATCTGCTTAGGTTTATTCGTAAAAACAGATTAAAATGGACGGCATGTAGTCTAAGTGTTGTTTTCTGCACGCGTCGCTTTGTGCTTGGTTCCGACAAAAAATAAAATAAAACTAAAAATCATCTCACAGCTTCATTTTCAGATAATTTGTGTGGAGCTGAAAAAAGAAGCTGTAAAACTTTATTACAAAATAATTAATTGTGTTTAACAGACCGATTCTAACAAAGTCACAAGACTCAGCGAAATCTCAGCAGTGATGCACCGAGTTTTTTAACTTTGTTAGATTAGGGTCGTATGCGGTTTTTTTCGCTTTTACAGCCAAAATGTATGCTTTGTACCAGATCAAGTCACTTCTTTCAATGATCGTGAGTAATCTTGAAGTTTTGCCTGCGAAAGTTTGCTTAACCGCTGGAAATCACGCGTATGGAATGCGCGCCCAAAGTGAATACGATGCCGATTAAATATGCAAGTGAAACTCTAGCGGGGAAAATAATTGAACACTTTTTTTAACAGAAAACATTTAAGTACAAACTCTCTTTATTAGATGCTAATGAAACCACGCCCACTTGAAACAATTACGCTCAGTACACTCGCCGACGTAGCCGTATTTTTAGGCCATTTACCGACTTAAGTGTCAAATAGAATCCCAAACGTGCGTCATAAGGATTGTCGAACTTGTCATTTGGATCTGCCGGGTCGTGTATACCCGTGGATAGTCCGTCCACTGCAGGTAGTACATTGAAGTGGCGTATGATTTTTGAGACGGTCACTTTCAATTCCATCATAGCAAATTTTTGTCCTATTAGAAAAAAAATAAAATCAAACAAGGTATGCTAAAAATTCATTGAATGCCTTGCAAAATATACCTATACAGTTCCGCGGCCCGGCGCTGAATGGCACGTAGTCGTACGGATTCGATGTGGTGCGATTTTCAAAACGTTCCGGTTTGAATTTAAATGGTTCTGGAAAACTGTGCGGATTTGTACCCAATGCAATAATAATGCAACCGATGGAAGTACCAGCAGGAATCTGAAAGCCACCTTAAAAGGATAGAAATAGTCAAATAAACAAAATTATCAATAAAATATGTAATAAATACGATCAAATCAAAATCTTTTACTTGAAACAAATTTCCCTCGAAGGGAATTTTTCTAAAATGCAAATCGAGATATTTTCACAACACAGGTTCATCACCATCACAGGTGAATCACCATCGTACAAACATATTAAAACTCACCAATTTCAGTTTGTTCCTGCAGCGTGCGCACAATAAATGGCACACTGGGATATAATCGCAGCGTTTCCTTCAGTATCAACTCCAAGTACTTCATTTCGCCCAATTCTTGGTATGTTGGATTGCGTTGAAGATCATTGCCGAAAATGGCGTATTGTTCTTGAAAGGCACGCTCCTGTATTTGCGTGTGTCGAGAGAGACTGTAAATGGTGAAACCAATAGCGCTGGCGGTGGTGTCATGGCCCTGGAGTAGGTAGTATAAAAAACCAGAGTGGGTGTTGGTGAAACCATGAAAGCAGTTTCGTACTAACCTCAAAAACAAACGTTGAGACCTCTTCAAAAATATCTTGAAATGTTAGCGGTTTGCCCTCAACCTCGGCTGTTAGTAAATTGTCAAGAAAGGCCATTTTCGGACGTTTGCCATCAGCGTCACTTTTCAATTTGTTTTCACCGATTTCCTTTAGTATGACTCGTCTTTTCTCAATGATCTAAACAATATCTAATAAATTTTAGAAATATTTTTCTAAACATTGCAGGCATACTTCGGAAAGTTCTCTGCGTAGTACTGTTAAAGCTCTTTCCTGTTTCCGATATGCCTCCGTCCAAACAAAGAAGAAGTCCAAACGATTTAACGCGCTGAAGATCCGTTGACGCATCACATCGCAAAGCCTTTAAAGCATACACATTCTTGAAATGTAAGCCGTTAAATAAACAAAAAATTATAATGTTTTACTCAGCAATCGCCGGCACCATAGGTGAGGTGCGCCCTACTATGGCATTCACCGGAGTTCCCATGGCAGCTTCTAAAAAAAAAAATTAGTTAAAAAAAAGATTTAAAATAAATAAGATGGTTTTTATGTTTCCGGTCTTTACACGCACGCACCGCAGATGACATCGATGGTCGAACGCGTTACGATCTCTTGAAAATCGAACATATCCTCCTTAGCCGCGAAATCTCCCAATAGCATCATAAATCGATCGGTAGTGTCATTCATAATTTTAAGGAAATCTTGTAGAATTGCAAAATGAAATGAGGGCGTTATCATCTTACGGTGATTTAACCAATGGCGACCATTCGATGTAAGCAAACCCTGGCCCAGCCAAGGGTAAAAAAATTTGTAGGGGTCGTACTTGTATATGAGTGTGGTGCTCGAGAGCACTTGCTGAAAGGAAAATTGGATAGGCTTTCATTGAAGTAAACAACCACATGTATGTATTTATGTAGGCGGAAGGAGGCGTATTTACGTACCTCCATAGCTTTGGGATTTATGACCATCAAATATGGCTGGGCGCCACCGTACATGCGTGCTAACCCATAGTTATATTGATGCGCCCAGCGACGCACTTGGGTCATATTATCTGCGGAGGAAGCAAAAAAATAAAAAAATTTATAAAACTGTATACAGAACTCTATTTAGTTTGCAAAGATATTACATAGATATGCCAACATGTGTAGGTCATCATAGTACTATGGAATTCAATTGTGGGTGGCTGGAAAACCCAAAACCAATTTTTCCAAGCATTCGGGCAGTATGGTCCATTGTAGCCTAGAGGCAGGATTTAGAGGAAAGGTTGAGGTGGGAATTCAGTGTTCCTCTGCAAACTTACCAGACTCCTTTATGAATCTTAGCAGTTTGTCGAGGGAAAGAGAATGTATCTCGTCTATTCTCAATATATCCGATCCAAAAACGTGCTAAGTCTGGTCGTCAATGATACCTATTCTGAGTATATGTCGTCCCCATGAATTGTGCACCGAAATAAGTCTTGTCAAGGCTCGTAGATCACTCCTTCTTTGTCTGAGAAGCAGTTTTGCTGCCATCCTCTCAGGCCGTCCTGAGGACATCCGCCCTCAACCTCTGCCATGGTACTAAGGCTACTTTCGTCCCCCACAGTCAGAAGTATTCTAGTTAGTATAAAGTCCGCAGAGCACATAGGGTCAAAGGTAGCATTGTTAAACGCCCTTCAATATCAGTAAATACTCCCATTGTGCCAAATGAATAACTGTAAGCAATTGCTTTTTCTTGAATTTTCAGAGCTTTTACTCCATTAATTCAAATAAAATTGAAGTAAAAGGTATGAAATTTTAAGAAAAAGCAATTGCTTAGTTTTTATTCATATGGCCCATTGTGTACTCATCTGCTTCCAGCCCCGCCTCTTTGTTACAAGGTCATGTAGAGCTGATTCACAGTTCGCCAGAAAAGGCTCTAAAAACTCATATTAAAGCCCCTATAATCCTGTCTCCCCCACACATTCGCTTTTTCAGATACACTCAATCTGGGCCCGGTAACTTAAAGTCGTCTAAAGAGGCTATACAAAAAACCTCACTGACTCATCAGTCACCACGCATGATGCTAACTATGTACCAGTTTAGTCTCGTGGCTCTTCGCGCGTCGCGCTATCCTCCACTATACCTCTGCCTGCGTCAAGAATTAACCTGCCACCCGGAAAATGAGTTTGCAAGAGAGAGTTTTGTATGTGTCCAGAAATCAGGTGGTATAAGTTCCATCAGATTTTCTGAGAGCATCAAGTCTAACCGTCAGGTCCAGTTGAAGTACCTTACACAGACAGGCAGACTCTTTCATGTTGTCGATATCATTTCAGAAGTCTCTATAAAACCTAAATTTTTCCTTCTGCACATTATGATATTTGGACCAGTCCTCTTATTTTCGGGTTTTTAAAGACCTATTCAGAAGTCTCCATCATAGTAACATTGTCAGATCCAAAGGAAATTTCAACTGATGGAAAAAGGCAAATAACAATCCCCCCGATTGTGATTCTGATGATTGAGAGTGCCAAAAGAGTGTAGGTATGTATGTATCTAAACTTATTTTTCATTGACGTCAGAATTAATTAAAATTGGCTTCAACTGTCAATGAAAATAACATATTGCATATTAACGTATTTACGAACATCCATGCATACTTAAGTGCATACATTCATACATATGAATATTCGCTCTGAACAAAAACTGTTATCAGTTCCCGCCAATGGAACTTGAACCACTCATCGCAGAATCAAGAGCATTTTATAAAAAATAAGTAGTATTTATGTAGTTCACCTGCATATGTAAATATAAACAAACATTTCTATACGCGCATATACATATGTTTACGTTATTTTAACACTTCTAATGGAAAGCAGCAAAAAATTACGAGAAAGCCATTAAGGCAGAGGCGGTTTTAAGAGCAAGCTTAATTCTACATATGTATTGGTTGTATGGTTGGTTGATTATAGTGCTTCATAGTAACTTACTACGAAGCAATTAGCGCGTTTTGTGCCATTTTGATGCACTTTCGTGTGAATGCTAAACACCTACATGCATATGTATGTATATCTAGATTTCTCGGTGAAACCATCTTGATTCCCTGATGAATTTGCCGATATCGTCTATAATAGATCCCGATATATATATATGCCAGTTTTTTTTTTTGCATGTATCTTCCGAGTAGTTTAGTCTAATAGCCGCTAGACCTGGGCATTCACAAAGGAAATATTGGACTACTTCTTCGCTACCTTGTAGTTGACAGCTGCGGCAAGTTCTATTATATGGGCGCATCATTATCTCTGCATATTTGCCTATGGGCCAGTGGCCAGTAATAGTTAGTACAATTTCAAAAACTTATGAGCTCGATCTATTAAGCAGATCTTCTGACTTCGTCTTATTATATCAAGCCAGAGTGCCTTGGCTATTTTGCAAGTCCCTTTTCCTTGCCGGTCGAAGAAAATGCAAACCTATTTTTCTTAGTAGTAGTAGTAAAATCTTGCCTTTGCCAATTCATCGGCCTTCTCATTACCTTGGAGTTACCCAAGAAACATTAACACACTTGCATTTTTTGCTCAGTTGCATTACAAAGTTTTAATTTTTTATTTCGATAAAAAAAAAATCGTACCCACGCACAGTAAAATTCAAATAATTCCGCTTTATTCCCCGAATTTGCACGATCTACCTCTCCGTCTTCCAAGCTTCATCTAATATCTTGGTCTTGGTCGGATAGTGGTTCTCTTGGGTGGTGTGTAGGAAGAAGGTGCTGAAGGCCTTAATGGACGCTTTGATTCCTCTTTCGGTGGATGAGTGCGTATGTACTCGAGTGCACGAAGAATAGCATCTGGAATTGGTGGTGGGGTCGGTAGAAGATCACCCTTCGGCTGATAGCCATTCTCATCGGCAACATATGAGATTTGCATCTGTTGGCCATCGGGTGAAATCCATTGGAAACCGCCTTGGATATTGCCATTAGCATCGCCTGATCTTGTAGATTTAATGCCATTGCTGGTCTCGAGCGCGTAGTCGAAACCATCGGCACGTACTTCAGAATGCATTGACTTTATCTCAGCGTTCCTTTCATCACCAGAGGCACGCGAACTGCTGCTGCTGTGACCACCGCTACTTTGCCCATAAAAAGGACGACGTGGTATGACGGCCACGCTGAGACCGATGGCGGCGAAAAAGATGAGCTATGGCACGGGTATGAAAGAGAGTGAGAGTGAGAGTGATTTATGAATGAAGTATTCCTTTGTCTGGAATTGGATATATGTAAGTTTTCAACACTTATTTGACATGCTTACATATTTGAACATTCTGTGCAATGCTTTCTACCCGGGTAGGTGGTCACTAAATGAAATCAAACAAACGAATGTTCCACGGTTATACTCACTTTGATTTTTATACCGTGAGATAGTTCGGTTTTCAGTAAAAAAAAAAAAAATATCCGCACAATTTATGCGCACCACCTCTTTGTTTGGAAATAGCTGGCAGGTGTGTCCCAACGGTAAGAGTTGTCATCACCAAAAATGAATTAATATTTCAAAAGCAAAAGGTACAAGCCACTTTTGGATGCATCCGTTCTCATCTCGCCGTGCTGCGATACGGAGCAGGTACATATGTGGTTCAGTCGGTAGTTGCATGACAAGTTTTTCTTTCTTTATCCAACAAGAGACAACCGCACCCACAACAAAAATAAGCTTTCAAATATAATTTATATTTTTGTTGGTTGAAACAGCAAAAATAAGCATAAAAATTATTACAAAAGTAAACAAAAATTTGAATTATTAGCGAATTGCGAACAGACTGATGTACATACTACATATGTATGTATGTATGTATAGCATGTTTATTTATATGTAGATTTTAAAATTAATAGAAGAACGTTTGCTTATTACTCGTAGCACAAACACGTTTAACTAAAACTACTTTTTATTTATTTAGCCGCTCAAAATACAACATTATTAATTGGTTAATTTTAACGATCGCCGGTTTGACAAATTAAATTAGACCAAGTGTGCTAATTGTCTTAATCCACGAGCAAAGTAGTTGATCAGCAGCGATCTTAGGCAGCAATAAGGTTTAAGAATCTGCATTGGTATGCAGATGAACAGCCGGCTCGATAAGTTAAGTAGTCATCGTACAAGGACGCCGTCTTCTTCGCATACAGTTAAAAACATTTAATGATGTAATTGAATTAACCCTTCCGCACAAGTTGAATGAAATTTACACAATTAAGGGTTGTTTATAGTTCTCAGAAAAATCACAAGAAATATGTTTCCATTCCATTTCTTGTGCGTCATCTCTAATCGAGAAAGCCCAGGTTTATATAATCAAATTAATACACATATGTCCTTGGATACCTGTTTATTTAGACCAATTGTAAAAGTGGGCAATTAAGAAGGAAAAAATCAACCACGCACTTCCAAGGAAGAACACGATTGGTATATCAACGGCTTCATTGTAACCAATGTACCGGACAACTTATCATCCTGTGAAACAAAGAGGATTTTTGGCCAGTTCCATTATAGGGACTTTTATTGACTTGTGTTGACATAACACTAGAGGCTGACGCATCTCACAAGCGGAAGTAAGACCATCGGTAACGAAAGGGATAAGTATTCCATATGGTATCAGAGGCTATTCTTCTTGGCCTATGTGCAGGCAGAGTTTTTCTCTTTACTAAACTAAGTTGCACTGGACAGTAAGGTGAGCAGAATTTTTTAACATTCCAGGAGGACACACTTTCCATACTGAAAACACAAAATTTGTTTTTTTTTTAACGCCTTAATTACGAATAAATTAACAATTCAACTCAGTTTCTCCAAACACAAGTCAAACAAGTTAATAGTACACCGCGTTGCATAATTATAAGACCGCAACATATTAACAGGTTTTGGCTATTTATTTTTAAATTATTTAACTGAAATTGTATTACTTGGAGAAGAAATTGCTTTCGTTCTTCGTCTTTCGTCAAAGTTCAACGCTATACGTCGTTCAGCAATATCATTAACATATTTAATACTCTTAATCGCGTCTAAGAAACCTTATTTCAGTTTAATTTTTTTAGAGAATTTAATGCCCTACAAGAATATGCCTAGAAAAAACTTGTATCCCTTTTTTACAACTTTTTTTAACGGTTCAAAAGTCATAACGAATTTAAGGGGGAAAAAAATGACATGTTATTTAAAAATTGAAAAAAAAAATTTTCCAAATGGCAGAATTTCCTTAAATTCGCTAGGTTATTTGTTTTGGATCACCGTAATATATATGTGTATACAAGAGTTACCCATTTACAGTAATAAGAATAAGTCGCAAATTTCCCGGAAAACACCAGTGCCAGTTTTGATTTGTGAACTGGTTTCGATAAATTTCCGATAAAATAATTCTCAAAATTTACTATGGCGAATTACGTAATTCGAAGTGTAATTGGAGTGCGAATTACGAATGAGAGAGCGAACTATGTAATTGGAGTGCCGTGGTAAAGCCGTATTTAATATTATTGATTAAGGCTAAGTGGCGTTTACACTGTTCAACTTTCACGTGCGGTTAGTTGAATCAAAACTCTACATCATTTAACTGAAAGCTGACAATGTAAAGTCCTTTTAAATATAATGATTGTGTACGATTAGGAAATAATAATATTCTTAACGATTTTTTTTTTTCGTGTTTGAGGACAATCCACCTCAAAGGAGGACGGCCCTCAACTGGACTGCCTTCAGCGCCATTCTGCATAATTAAACTATGTATTCGATACTCAATAACCAAAGTTGTTTAGCTACTCCTAAGTGTTATGTTGGTAAATAATTTTCAGCACTAGTTTCTCGAATTCAAAAATTCATTTTCTATATATAGTCGTCTACTAGTTATGCCTTGTTGAATAATTTTTTTCAACCATCTAATTAAATTTGATTTGTGTTCCATTTGCATTTTTATCTACAAATTTGGCAGCAGACCAAAACCGAACAACTTGAAAGTAGACGAATCCAAATAGCAAATGCACTGAGACAAATTCAAATATAGAAAGTCCATTAAATTTTGCAGATGCAAATAATTTTGGCTTTTGACAAAAACAAAAAAAAAACCCGTTTCATAACTGAAATATTTTCACAATTAAATATAACAAGTTTAGCTGGATTTTAATGGCCGACGAATTTAAAATAGGCAAAAGCACAGAAAAACAACGGGAGTCAGCGACACAATTATACACACACAAGTGCAAAGCAAAGAACATAAAAAAACACCGTAATGCACAAATAAACTTGACCACTCGAATCTCGATTGTCTGCATAACAGGCCGCAGTGAAGCGCCGACAATTTGCCATTATAAAAGCGCTACCAAACTTGGTAAACACCATCAGAAACAATCAAGTGTTCTAGTCTCAAAAATATCATAGCAAAAATGTTCAAATACGTAAGTGAATGCAAAGGAGACTTGCGATATACATAAATAAATATTTAGTTATTAACTTAAAATCTCTATTTTCAAATCCCTACAGGTGCTACTCTTCGCTTTCGTCGTCTACGTCTCAGCCGCTAGCAGCGCCGATGACGCCAAGGCCGAAATCAAATCCCAGCACGCCGATGTCCGCCCCGATGGTTTCAGTGCTGACCTCGAAACAAGCAACAGCATTCATGTCGTGTCAGCTGGTGATGCCCAAGGCAACATTAAGGGTGAATTCGGTTGGGTATCACCCGAAGGCACCAACGTCCAATTAACCTATGTTGCCGATGAGAACGGTTACCAGCCAAAGAGCGATCTCCTCCCAACATCACCACCAATCCCAGCAGCCATCATCAAGGAGCTGGAATGGCTCAGCTCTCACCCCCAAAAGGAAAGCAAGAACTAAAGCCCAACAAAATCATAAATTATGATTGGATGATGCCGCCGATAATTTAAATACGCTTTGTTATTGAACTATAACTAGACTTGATGATGCTGATGAGTTGAATGGCGATGTGATTGAATGGATATGTTATGTGATACTCGTGTTTTATTGTTACACAAAAATAATGCTAGGCTCGAAAAAACGTTTCCGCTTGTTGCCGATTTTCAGTTTTATATTTTATGTTTTTTGTAAATACTCATGTGCTCAATGCAAATAAAATAATCCACCAAATGGTAAACTTACGTATTTACTTTAATTATCAACAACTTGATAAATAGGGTCTAGATTATTTTAGGAAAACAATGTATAATAATAGTCGATTTAACCCTGAGTTCGGATCTGTTTCAGATGGAGCGTCTCGAAAGAAAAGTTCTACTCTGACCATCGACATATTGAATACAAAATATGTATGTATGTAGATCTTAGAACTCCCCAAGTTAGCGAGTTAAGAAATTTACAAAAGACTTGGAATTTGACGGATTGGCTAATCAGATTCTAAATCTATTATTATGATTATTATTGGCCATATGCACCGCGACCTCTAAAGTGATCTGTTGTGTGTTACTATCAGCTTTTTTAATGTAGCCTGGCACTCTTAAGGACTTTTGTTCCAGATTTCAAACGTATTAAGTGTTGCACCGCCCAAGTTAGCGAGTTTGCACCTAGCAAGAGCGTAGAGAGTATGTTCCAGTATTTCTTAGTCCATCTAACAAAACCGAAATAAGTTTGTTTTCGAGAGATTAATTTAACAGTGTCCCTTGTACTACCCAGAGAGAGAGTTTTGAGGTCATCTTTGCCTAAATTGAGTATCTTCTTTAAATTTCCTTTTGATGGACGGATAAATCATTTGGCCAATGCCTGTTGAACATTTTGGCTACCAGTTATCCATTGTGCGCTTTATGTGTGCTTTGGTGAGACCACAAAAGGGTTCCAAACCATGAACAAGTGCGATAGCTCTTTTTTCGCTAGGTAGTTCATCATATTTTTCAAGCCCCGGTACCCATCCTAATAAAACCGCGTTCTTGGCTCCTAGAGATTTAGGGACATTGAAGCAATCATATAAGTACTAGCCGATAATTTATTTTGTGGGACTTCAGTGCCTGACTGTCCGGCATAATGCAAATATATTTCGAGGCATTCTCAGCCGCAATTTTCTTTTGCATAATCTCCGCTTGAAATATGGTGGGCTAGCTGCCTATTGGTATTGATTTTTTGGAGTTCATGCCAAATATGCCAGCCCCAGTTTTACCATTATCAAAATTAAATCTATTTGTGTTCCAAACCTCCCCATTAGCTGTGGTGTATAGGTACGGTGACCATATTAACCAATGTAAAATAAAGGACATTTTTTTCAAAATTATTTGGGAATACGTTTATACCACTTGTATGGAAAAAGTACCTTACCCATATCGTAATTTAAATCAAATATTTACCAGTTAATTAACCGATTCCGAAAAATGAAGCCAAATCCTTTTCAAGAACTTCGCCATACTTTG